GATTGTGCCCCTGTACTCAGCACTGATGAGGTTGCATCTCAAGTACTTTGTGCAGTTTTGGGCCCCTCACTACAAGAAAGACACTGAGGTGCTGGAGTGTGTCCAGAGAAGGGCAATGGAGCTGCTGAAGGGTCTGGAGAACAGGTCTTATGAGGAGCAGCTGAGGGAACCAGGGTTGTTTAGTCTGGAGAAGAGGAGGCTGAGGGGAGACCTTATCGCTCTCTACAGCTGCCTGAAAAGGGGGTTGTAGCGAGGTGGGTGTTGGTCTCTTCTCCCAAGTAACAAGTGCTAGATTGAGAGGAAATGCCTCAAGTTGCACCAGGGCAGGTTTAGATTGGACATTAGGAAAAATTTCTTTAGTGAAAGAGTGGTCAAACATTGGAACAGGCTGCCCAGGGAAGCGGTGGAGTCACCATCCCTGGAGGTATTTAAAAGACATGTAGATGTGGTGCCTGGGGACATGGTTCAGTGGTGGACTTGGCAGTGCTAGGTTGGACTCCATGATCTTAAAGCTCTTTTCCAACCTAAATGATTCCATGATTCTAAATGCAGGCAATCAAGACATCACTTTTAACTTGGTTGCTTCTTTTTTTGTTTGTTTTTCATTAGTAACTACAAAGCATCTTAGCCTCTTTGCATTTGACCCTTGATAATTCTAGGGTAAAGTTGGAAGAATGTGTCTAGGTTGAACCTAGAGACACAGATGATCTTACGAACAAGAATTATTTCATTCAGTTTGCTTCTTTGTCAGCCTGAAATGTATGTTTACTGAAGTGATTGAGGAATCCATCTGACACCAGGTCAATATTAAACTTCTAGCTAGATGCTTAGTACCCTATTTTTGTGCTGCTCTAGCATGCATGCTTAGTTTCCTATCAGAGTCTTCCTTTGTTTGCAGGACATCTCAATAGTGTGCACTGTCCTTCTGACATCATTCCTTGATCCACAGAGATCAACACCAAGTCTGAAATGTTTCTTTGTGTGGTCAGTCCTACTAGGATGGAGAGATTTGTTCCCTAGAAACTAGAGAGGAAACGCTGCAATGGTTTCAGTGTCATGAAATCCTGTTTTAATCATTTAAATCTTCATCAGATTGACCTGCAGAAGATGCCATTGGGAAAACTGAGCAAGCGACA